CCGACAGATTGTCATCTAGCTTCCACTTAAAAACCTTCAAAGAAGGAGACTCCACCGCATACACAGGGTATTAAATGCAAAGCAAAGCAAAGCAGCTTCATTTATATACCGCTTCATATTGCGCCGACTTGAAGGCACACATCAGCAAGCACCAAAACTCCCCATGGGAGCCTGCCTGGGTCTTAAGACCATCTGGAGAGTTTCATCACAAGTATGGTTGGTGGGGACACAAAAGAGGGCCTTCTCGGTGGCTGCCCCCAGACTCTGGAACGCCTTTCCCAGAGAGACCTGAATGGCCCCCTCCTTAACTGTTTTTCTGTCAGCAGTCAAACCCTTTGTATTCCAACAGGCTTTTAAAATTGAAGGTTAAGGGGACTGTATTGCTTAAAACTGAACTGTATTTAATTGCTTTTTAATCTTTTCTAATCATTTTTTAATCTTATAAAATAGATGTTTAATTTAATTATGGATAATTTAATTCTATTTTAATGTTCACCTTTTGTACGTTTTTAGAGATATTGCTCTTTTTTTAAATGGTAAGCTACCTTGACTCCCAATTTTAGGAAGAAGACAGGGCACAGATGATGATGATAATGGTGACGATGACGATGACGATGCCGCCCTCCAAATGTTGTGTTAACTACCATTTCAATCAATCCCTTGCATTAGCCAAGCTGTTATGGACTAGTTGGGATGTGGAATCCCACAACACTTCAAGAGTTGGAAAATCCCCAGTACTGTGAGATAAATACTACATTAATATGTATATGAATATTATTTATTCATATAAATATTAATGAATAAAAACAGAACAAAATTCAAGGGGGGAGGAAGAGGAGGAAAAGTGGAAACTGAAGAATGAAGAATTTTCCGAAATTTTTTTCTGAAAGAAAACGAAACAGAAGGGGAATTATTGTTCTGTTATGTCAGAAGGAAGACCATCACCACCTACGACACAGACTGGTACTTCAATTTTATTGTAATTTTAATAATTTGTAATTTTATTATAATTTTAATAATTCAATTGTATTAATTTTATTTTTATCATTTTTATTCTGTTATGGTTTATTGCTATATTTTAACGTTGTTGTATTGTTCCCTTTTATCTCTGTACTCCCACCTCAATCTGCAGAGAGAGGCGGGATATATAAATAAATTTTGTTGTTGTTGTTGTTGTTGTTGTTGTTATACAGCTGAGGAACATTGTTATTATTTGCCAAGTCGAAGTGAACTTGATGAAGTTTTTAAACAGAAGCCGGCCATCTGTCGGGATTCTTGGGGATGCTTTGATTGTGCCTTCCTGCATGGCAGTGGGTTGGACTAAATGACCTTTGGGGA